AGTAAAACCTGGGGTGGATCAGACTGCTGTGCACTGGGAGTCTGACTGCACAGTAAAACCTGGAGTGGATAACTGGGAGTCAGAGAAGAAAAACAGACAGAAAAGACAATTCACCCTGGTGAAGACAAGGGCACTGGAGTACTGCACACTGGTCTCTGGCTCCACCCACAAGCTGCCGGTGGAATTGCTGGAGAGCATACGCTGCCAGTCGATGTGCAGGCTGGAGTTGGAGGAGTTGGTGTGGATCAGGAGCAGCGTGGGCGCCCCCTGGCTGCCCCAGATGAAATGCAAGGTGTCGCTGGGCCCGACAGCACGCACATGCAGCACATTTACGCCAGGGGGCGCCGCAGGGCTGCTGTTCAGACCTGGGTTCAACTCGAGGGAGACCTGCAAGGCGGGGAAGATTAAAACATTGTGCATAAATAAACCAGCAGTTCCCAGGCGCTGTCCTGAAGCACCCAAGTCCAGTGCGTTTCACAGATCATCCCTCAGTTTCTAGAGAGGAAGAACCACTTACTACGGCGTCCTGGCCAAATTTCCAATTGGCCCTTACCAATCATGGCCTCCTAATAATCCCCCTCTATGAATTGGCTTCATTACTCTGCTCTCCTCCCCACTGATAGCTGATGTGTGGGGAGCGTTCTGGCGCACTATGGCTGCCGTCGCATCATCCAGGTGGGGCTGCACATTGGTGGTGGTGGAGGGGAGTCCCCATTACCTGTAAAGCGCTTTGAGTGGCGTGTCCAGAAAAGCGCTATATAAGTGTAAGCAATTATTATTATTATAATTACGTGAGCAAGCAGTTTAACACAACCATTTATAAAAATCTGTTAATAAGACTGGCTTTCATGAATCAAGCCCGTACAAGGAGTCTACAGCTAAAGATAGCCTCCCAAAACCGTCTTAGAGCTCTTTAGGAAGGTCACTTGCCTACGTTTAGCTACGAAAAGCCACAGCAGTCAAACAGCTTCTTCGAAAAAAAAGCTGAAGTTTAGCTCGCTGTTGCATTTTTAAATGTAGATTAAAATCTGCAATTTCCCGGCAACTGGAAAACGCCTGATTAATTAATCCAGTAAAGGTTTCAGTTAAGTGACGAAGAGCTGAGCTGGAAAGACACCCCGCTGGCAACGGGATCACCAGGAAAAGTCCCCATTTCCGGCACCCGAGGGTCCAGACCCGCACAAACAACCCCAGGTCTCGACACACGACAGCCGGATCTCCACCCCGGAGGAGCGATCGCCGTCTCCAGCCGTGTAGCCGGGCGTCTGGCCCACCCTGCGGTTTCAATCCGGCTGTGGAGCCTCTCGCCCCACAGCTCGGGACAGGGGTCAGAGGCGAGAGGCCACTCGACCCGGCCAGCCCGCTCGGTAGCCAGAAGCTACTTGATCCCAGAGTTATTGTTTTTTTTTTACTTGCTGTTTCTTGAAAGAAATATGTTGATCGACTTGAACAACGTGGCCGGACAGAAGTCCGCTTAAAGCCGACGCAAGGGAAATGAAACGACCGATAAAACGAAGCCGCCCAACTGCAGTAACCGCCCGGAGGAAGAGTCCCTGTTGGGTCAAACTCGACTCAGAACATCACCGGACCGGGCCCAGGAGGACGCGTATCAAGCACAGCGCTTTCAGTTTAACACAGCCGGTTTCCAACCCCGACACACGGAATGGCTTCGGTTTTGAGTGGTGTTGAAACGTAACAGGTTTGATAGTAGGAAGCGAAAGCTGCCAATAAGCAAAAAGGCTTAAAGAAAAGAAAAACAGATTTCGATTTTACGTCCCTTACCTTCCGCCGGTAGCCGTCCGTGCCGCTATTGAACAGACCCCGACTGGGCTGCAAGCTCAAACACAAGAAGAGAACACAGAGCGCCGCCGAGACCCCGGCCGTCGCCATGTTTATGTTCAGGAGGAAAAAAATATGGTGGAGTCACATGATCTCGCAGCAAGTCAGCTGACCCAGAGATCCCGGAAACCGGAAGCTGCGTCAGGCCCTTTCCCACATGACCCACAGAGAAGGCGGAGGGTCACGAGGTCATATAAACAAGGAACAAGTAGGCAGGTACATGGCAACTTACTGGTCCTATTCAAGTCTTGGCTTGAAGGCTCACAAGGAAATGACTTCAATATTTCTAGCCAGCTTGTTCCAGACACCCTCCACTCTTTGTGTGAAGAGAGCCACCATGTTCTAAAAGCACTTCCAGCCACTTCCCAAACGTTTCCTCAGTTTTACTTTCAGTCCTGAAGTCAATAACCCGGTAAGATTTCCAGCTCTGTCCAGCTTGTCGTCAGCCTCCTCCATTCAAAATTATACTCAGTTCCTTTAACCCACCAGCAGCAATAGGTGCACCTTTAAAGCAGAGTCCAAAAGATTGCCCTTCTGCGGTGTGCACAGCTCTCTAGAAGAGCCCTGAAGCTGCTCATCGCACACAACCCCACTCCCATTCCAACGTCACAAGCAGGACAGAAAGTGAAGCCAGACCTTCCCTGCTCCAGACGTGAAGTGTTGAATGAGCACACTCACCCCCGTGGGGACCATGGACACGCAGTCCCCATCCCTCCCCTGGGAGTCCCGTGTGGCGAGAGAACAGGCAGACAGGAGAATAAAGAATACAAAAAAACTGAATAAATAAATCAGCATTTTATTCATTTCAGTCCAAGCTTTGACAACTGGAGGCAAACAGCAAACGACACTAAATAAAGTTGATGGAGCGATGCAGAGCGTTACAAACGGGACGTTTTTACGGATTAGAAGTCAGCGCCTAGCTCTCCTCAACGGTACCCGGAGAGCAGCACAGACCGGACTCTGCAAGCCTGCAGGCACCCCACTACACTTCAAGGGGTGCAAAGGAGCATTGGGGCACCTCTGGCTAGTGAACAGGACTCACGGGGCAGTCTTGGCCAAAGCTGTCTGATCTGCAAGTCAGGACTCTTAAGTGCTCCCCAGTACCTATCAGAACTGGCCGGTGATCTGTAGAACCGGGGAGTCCAGCTGAGCTGAAGGACATGTTGGCCCTCCAGGTCCCAGCTGGGACAGCTCTGCCCCGGTCCACACCCCCCCACCGGAGACCAAGGAAAACCCCAGTGACAGGCGGAACTGGGGTGAAGGCAGGAGGAGCACCTGAGCCCTGACCCGCCAGAAATCTCCCCCCCAAAGCAAGAGCACAGAAGAGCAAGAGGACCAGACCTGTACGTCAACACAATTCTCACAGATTGGACACATGTCCACTCGCACCACCCACTCGCCCAGGAAACTTTGCCCTGGAGACTCTGGGAGTCTCCTCCAGCCAGCTCATGGCATCCAGGAGCAGACGTAAAGGGCACCCTGTCCAAACACTCCTGCCCCAGTCCAGCAGGGACACGATAACCTTACAGCACAAGCACGGGGTAACCTCACCGGACCAGAGAGCTGGTCGCCCACGATTCATAACTCATGAGGAGCCAAGCTCCAGTCCTTGAGTGCTGCACTGCATTTCAGCATTCAATTACTGAATTCAAGTCGTCATCTGGGCAAGAAACCAGATAACTGGCCCATCCCTAACAAACAGCGGGATCGCAGCTCCTGAGGAGTAGGGCCGTTCTGCTCCCTTATCTTTGGCGCCCAAACCCCATTCAGAACCAGGCTCTAGGAGCCGGTGTCCGAGAAGAGTCACCCCTGTTTAAATTTGCAGTGCAGGTCTCCATAAAGCCACATTTAATTACACAAACGTCTGCCCTGATCCTAAACCTGTAGAGCAGGCTGGACTGTGCTGCTCTCCAGATCAGGGAGCAGGCCCAGGCCCGGCCCACACCGGTGTTGGATCTGCTCTGCCCAGACAACGGGCAGACAGGAGGAGAGTCTGACTGCGAGAGTCCACCACACCGCGGGGCTTCTGGAAGCCCGATCTGTGCGTGTCTGTCCCCTCCGTCCCCTGTCCCATCCCACCCCCTCCCCATCCCCAGGTTCAGGTCTAGTGCTCCTCAGCAGGGGGCGCTCTGCCGCCCATGCCAGAGTCCTCCCCCTTCTTCTTGTGCCCCGAGACGATGTCGTCGATACGCAGCAGCAGGATGGCCGTCTGCAGGAAGAAACGAGGGACGGAAGAGATCTTGTTAGAATACAGGTCACTTCAGAAATCGGTTACC